ATTGAGTTTGTTAATCTGAGATATTCTTCTCATACTAACATGCCCCAATCTTCTGTGCCAGATCCACTGCTCGTTGTTAACAGACAGAAGGCACTTTACATTCTGACTTTTCAGTTCAGAAAGTTTGATTTTGTAAATGTTGTTTTTCCTCTTTCCATTAAACAGGATAGTCCCATCTTTCTGACTAACAGCTTTACATGATTTTTGATTAAAGATTATATCATAACCGTTATCACTTAATTGACTTATGGATAACAGATTATGCATTAATCCATCTACTAGCAGAACATTATTAATAGAGGGAAGATTTCCATTACCTACAGTTCCAGAGCCAATTATCTTTCCCCTCTGATTGCCTCCAAAGCCAACGTGGCCTCCAGGCTTAAGTTCCAGGCTTTGGAACATATGCCTTCTTCCCGTCATGTGTCGCGAGCAGCCAGATTCCAGGTACCATGACTGGTGTTTCTGACTTGCTGCTAAAGATATCTGCAACATGTATTATTTTATCCTTAGGTACCCAGATTTTCTTGGGTCCTGATTTGTTAGATTTACCAAAACTCTGGTTGAATTTTGGTTTCACAGAGTACTTACTGCTAGTGTATTTAATATCATGTGTGTGACCATACACAAAATGTGAATTCAGAGGTGTGTGTTTGATGGTTAAATCCATGACATTCTTTGGTGTAGGAACCTTACCTTGGTATCCTATTCCCTTCCTGCCGTTTCTGCTAACTCCATAGATCATTGAAGCCATTTTGCTTCTATCTATGCTTTTAGCAAGGAACTTCTGGAAACTGTGATCATACTCCTTGATGATCTCATCAGCGTTGCTGGGAGTTTCAGAAATTGGTTCCTTCTGAGAGTTTTGTAAAGTGTTTTCTAATTTTGAAAATTTAATTCTCAGCTCAGAATTCTCCAATTTAAGACTCTCAGTCTTATTAGAGTCAGATTCAAGATTCCCTTTCAGGTCTCTGAATTTAACTCTAATCTGCTGATACCTTTCCAGAATCTCATTAAGGCTTTCAGCAAGTTCAACCTTGGTAAAATTAACAGCAAAGTTAGGAAATACCTCTTCAGTATCTGATTCTGAGTCTGATTCAGAAGCTTCACTATCTTCTGAAATGTTGGCCATGAGAGCTATGTTGGCTCTCTCATCATCTGATTCTGAGTCAGCTTCAGACGAGTCAGAGTCATCCCATGTAGCCATGAGACTTTTCTTCTTTTCTCTTCCAAACTTTTTTTTGGGCTTTTCCCTCTAAAGCTTTGGGCAATCACTCTTGTAGTGTCCTTGCTCATTGCACTCATAGCAGACGATGTCCTTGGTGTTTGGCTTTCTGCTTCCTGAGGAGCCTTCAGATCTTCTGTATCCAGAGGAAGAATCTGTCCTTCTGTGTCTGGAAGAAGACTCGTTCTGATCAGATCTTCTGGGATTCCTGAACTTCCTTTGCCTCTGCTTCCACAGTTGATTCACTCTTCTGGAGAGGAGGGAGAGTTCGTCTTCTTCTGATGAGGATCCATCAGATGTTTCTTCAACTGCCTGCAAAACTTTAGACTCAGATTTTTTTGTTAGATTTTAATGCTAAAGGCTTACCTTGCTTCTGGGGTTCATCAGCTTCTAGCTCTATCTCATGGCTTCTGAGGGAGCTGATAAGTTCCTCCAGAGAAATTTTGTTGAGATCTTTTGCTAGCTTCAGAGCTGTAACCATTGGCCTCCACTGCTTGGGTAAACTTCTGATAATTTTCTTGACGTGATCAGCAGTAGAGTAACCTTTGTCCAGAACCTTGAGACCAGCTACCAGAATCTGGAATCTTGAGAACATTGTTTCAATGGATTCACTTTCTTCCATTTTGAACGCCTCATACTTCTGAATGAGCGCCAGAGCTTTAGTTTCTTTGACCTGAACGTTGCCCTCATGCATCATTCTGAGTGAGTCAAACATGTTCTTTGCCGTGCCTCTGTTGGAGATCTTTTCATATTCAGCATACGAGATGGCGCTGTGAAGGATGGTTCTGGCCTTGTGGTGATTCTTGAAGTCACGCTTTTGTTGGTCAGTCATTGTTTTTCTATCAATCTTCTGACTGCTTGCATTCACAGGGTGCGTGTATCCATCTGTCACCATATCCCACAGATCAACATCATGTGCCAGAAAGAAACTTTCAATTCTGTCTTTCCAGTAATCAAAGTTTTCTCCATCAAAGACTGGAGGTTTGCCGCTGAATCTGTCTCTGTCCTCATGGTTGTCATTGCTGGTGTGAGAATAATTTCCTGCCATTGTGTTTTTCTGACGCTGGATCTTGTACTGACACGGTTAAGTGTTTTAGCTCAGAACCAGGCGCTCTGATGCCAATTGAAGAAGTGAAAAACACAAGAAGGGGGGTTGAATTGTAAAACTTAAAATCAATGCAATGAACAAGATATTTTTATCCTGGTTCGTTTGATCTCAAACTACTCCAGTCCACCCGTCAAGGTGATTTCTCCTCTCTCCAACGAGGTCTTAATCCACTATATTCAACTGAATATTACAAACTGCTTTAACAACTGCTAAAGCCTTCTTGATGCAAACCACAACCCGGTTTGTCAAGGAAACACTTTCTTACAAATAAGAGAAATAGGTGTGTGAATGTTTTCTACAAAACTGTATCACAACTGTGATGTTACACAACTTAAGCTTATGAAACTAGATTGCTAAAATATAATTGAGTAAGGAATTATGGAGCTTTTTAGCAAACTGAGAGAAGGAAGATGATGATTAGCTTTTAGGCGTGTAATATGATGTAGAGCATTAGCCAATTCAATCTTCATTGTCTTGTTTATATAGCATTGAGATTGTTGAACGTTGGAGCAATAATCTTGATTCAATGGCAATAACAAACTTTCCTTATTGAGCAGATCTTGTCTGGAATGATGTCGTTGGTAATAATTCGCTTTCAATGCACAGTACCGTTGCTACTTAAAGCGTGTTCTGGCTTGGCTTCATTCTGACTCTGCTTAAGTGCTGATGAACTGTTGTTGTCTTTATGAGAGTGTTGAGCGCAGTTCTGTTCATCAAGCTTCAGCATACGCGTGAATTATTCTTCTGAATCTGGTATTCTGATATAGCATCTTCTGATGCTTACGTTGATGACCAATATTCTGATGCTGATTAGGTGTGCTCTTGCTGATACCTATCAGAGTTTTTGCAAAACAGAACGTAATATTTTAGGTAGCAAATAGCTCTCATATGAATCACATAATTAATATATCCTTTCATTTTGTTATCATCAAAACTTAAACTTAGGGTAGTAGATTCAAACTTTTTTCTAACACTAACTTGTATCCAAAAGAAACAAGCACATCCTAAGGGAACATGGTATAGAAAACAAGTGAACAAACAAGTTCGAAAGAGAACACATATAAAATGGTAAAGAAAAGAAGCAAAATGCTTTATTCAAGGTGAGCGTATCACCCGAGACAAACAAGCGGGAGTGAAATAAAAAGAAGATAAATACTTTAGCTAAGGGGAGCGGATCACCCGAAGCAAACAAGCGAGAATAGGATGTAAAATAAAAATGTGATGTCCAAAGCGACTGAACACCTAACCTAGATATAGAGGATTGAGGTAGGAGACAGAAGGCAATATGAACAATCACAGAGTGTCAACATCGGCCAATGCAAACTCTTGACAAAGTGTAGGGGTTTGATTGAAAAACCCTTTTCCACTTGATGACTCGACAATGAGAATAGGCATAACTCTGAAGCATCATGGTGCGTCACGAGCTAAGGATGACACAGAAAAAATCACGGGGGTTGATTGCTGACCCTCTCAGCTCGCCTCCTTTTGAGGTATTATCATTTATAACATATGCAAGCACAAATCTAAACACACCTGTAAAATACCTACATAAAGGTAGGGTTTTAAACAAACCACACACAAGTAGCACATAGTGGCAAATATTGTGGAATTTTCCTAAAGGGATCTTTAAATAAACCAGAGGGGTTCCTGACATGATCCGCAACAGAGACCCCCTTCATAAATCTCTATTCCTACTTCTCATGGAATCAGAAAGCAATAAAGTTCCTACTTCTCATAATATCTAGAGAGCAGTAAAGAAATACGACAAAGTGTGGAAATATGTAAAAGAAGTAGCGACGACTACCAAAAGCAAGCGGATTATCGAAAGCGGAATAAAGCAATGGAGAAGAAAGGAGTATGCGTCGAGAAAGTTTCACCAAGAAACAAAAAAGTAATAAACGATATCCAACTAAGATAAAAGCAAATGTGTGTTGCGAATGCAACGCATAATTAGAAGTTCATGCACAAAGTATAAGAAAATATCACATGCAACTAGACAACATACAATATGATATGAATTTCTCAGGACAGTGAGAAATAAGGCGTGTCGCATTAGAAGCGAGCATAATCCATATGCTTCGATCACATAACAACCTGTTATATTACATGATCGAAAGCACCAAAATGTATCTTGCACAATGAACAAACGCATAAAAAATAACGAGGCACAACAATATGAAAATATGAATAAGAAACTAAAAGGAAAAAATGTATTTTTATTAGTTTTTTTTATGTGAGGAAAATTCTATCGAAAACTAAATAATTTATTCCTAAAAACAACTAAGAAGTTCTAACAAGTTTAATTGATTTTTACAATTTTCTCATAAAAAATTTAAAAGGAAAAATCCTAAATTTAACAAAGAAAATAGGAGTATCATGGGGGTGCTAAGCTATTTTAAGAGGTATGCAGAAGCAGGGCTCTAGGCGCGTTTCAGAATGAAGTCTATTAACCATTTTTGTTTACCAACCCAGAAGCTACCAAAAAAATGCCCTTTGGACCAAAACCAAGAAAATCCCTCGGTCTACACCAATGCGAGCATTACTAATCCAAGCTCTTTTTTCTCAATTTTCCAGCATGATTATGATTTAGTAATAATAAAATAAAAAAATTAAAAGAAAAGAAATAAATAGAAAGAGGGATTAGGGTTACACAGTTTGTGTGACTGTTCAACTTCTTCAACAAAGTTCTCCCTCTTCTCTCAAAACAAAATACACTGCTACGATGCTATCCTCTCCGCCCTTCTTTGCTCATATTTCCGTCGTGACTACTTCATCTTCTCCATCTTATATTCTCTCTCTATCAAACTCTCTTCTGAGTCTTCATCGATTTCACGGACTCCCTTGTATCCCTTCGCTTCACCACAGACTCAACCTTCACACTCCATTGTGAATGCTTTATTTAACATCGTGCTCTCATCACAAACGTCATGGACAACTCAACTCAGACTTTGCTTTGACTTAACCTTTTACTTACTGTAATCTCTTCATTCAACTCCTTCTTTCGGAGAAATGTCTGACGCTTATTCAATCACGACGAATTGAATAGAAAACCAGAGGTTTAAGTATGAATCTTCTTCTACTTTTCTTCTTCTTTTCCGATTCAATTTTGCGCTTTCTACATTGTTATTACTGTGATGTATTGTTAATCTATGTAGAAGAATTGATGAATATGATGATACAAATCTTGTTGTGTGATGCATATTAACGATGAAGCTCGTTGAAATCACGATGAATACGATGATTGTTATAAAAGATGCAAAGATATGGTTCTTGAAGATGAAGCTTGAAGAGGATTGAAGTTGGAAACATTGATGTTGATTGAAGAATCGTGAAGAGAGTGATGAAGAATGTGCAGAGGAATTTTTCAGAGAATAATTTAGAGGTGAGTTTTTTTCTGTGAGCATTCTGTGTGTTAAATGAATTATGAACCTCTCCCTATAACTCTGAATTTCTGTTATATATGTTGTTAGAAACTGAGCTGGAAAATTCTGTTATGACTGAGAAGTTCTGTTAGGATCGAAAGTTAGTTACTATGTCAGAAAAAGGTTAGTTAGTCAGTTAGGATGTTAGTTATGATTCCATTTTTTCTATTATTTACTGAACTGACAAACAATCATGTGGTTGGTTAGAGGTTTTGATTTTATGTTATAATTGTTAGATGAGCAGTTAGTTTCGGTTATAGCTAGTTGAAATATGTTTGAGTTTGTTTTGGAGGATATGATAGTTTACGAATTCTGATTTTCTGTATATGCTTTAAACAAGTCTATAATTTATGCAATAGTGGGTTAATGACTCTCTGTCATGAATTTTCTGACATTGAATGAAACCGGTTTTTTTCTTTATTTTCCACCATTTCTGTTATCTCCTCTACATCCTAGTTTATTCTGAACTGACATGGTGATCTGGTTTCTTGAAAAAAATGTAGGGCTGCCTATTTACTTGAATAAAAGTCGGGTATAATTTTATGGTATTGGTTTCGAATGCTCGGATGTAACGCATCTTCACAGTGGTCCCGTCTCGAAGTCGTATGAATAGGAATGCCTCTTGTTCTGAATGAGGTTAGAATGATTTTCTTCTCTCACACTTTTTTACAGTTTAAATAAAATGTTGAGTTGCATTTGAAACATAAGCATATTTTATGAACCAATTTTGATGTTTCCGGTTGAATTCGAACTGACCTGTTGCATTCATTTGCTTGAATTGAACTGCAGATCTGAGTTTGAATTACATGGGTGGTGAATCACATAATTCAAAGGATAGTCAAGAGTTTGGCATGCATATTAGAAGATGGAATTTGTATGAAGAAATATTGGAGATTGGGTTTAAGTTTTGATAGTTTTTCCATGTAATACCTTGTAATCTTGGTGTAATGGAATTATTTTGAACTTGTAATGATTTTGGTATTTTGGAAGATGGACTTGCTTTTGAATAAATCTTGAAATACACTTAGATTTTAATTGAATGAGAAGTCACTTTGTAACTTTGGTGTAACGATTTGAATTTGTAATTGTTGTACCCCAATTTTTGCCCCTAAGATCCCTTTATCATACCATGTTGATTCAATCATAACAAGATCACATTAGGGCTTTTGGTTCTCCCCTATCTTTAGCTTTACTATTTGAGGAATCACCAAGCACCTTGACTTGTTTTCTTTTGTGATCATGAATATTTTGTCTTGATTTTTATTTTTAATTAATAAAATGCAATGTTGGTTTGTCTTACTTATTAATAATGTAGGTAAAGACAATAAGGCTTAGCAAGTTCCTCCATGGGTTCATGAGTTTATTTCCATGCCCTAGTCAATAAAGCTTGAGAAGTCCAAACCTAACCATTGAAGTTGTTTTGGAAGGGATTAAATGGCAAGGTTATTTTGGTTCACTACATTTCCAAGTTATCAAGATTGATTCAAAGGTGCAAGGGATTGATTGAAGAAGTTGTCATGGTTGGACAAGGCCTTGTTCCCATTGGTCATAAGTGCATATTTCTCTAAATTATCAAGATATGGAAGTGGTTTTGGTGGCTATGAATTCTCATTTTCATCCTCAATAACTTATATTTACAAATCAAGAGTGTTGGTACAAGAAAGTGGTTCAAATTTGTCAAGGTTCCTCAAAGCATTTTCTTGATCTAGGAGCTAGGATCTTGAATTTCAAAGAAGTATATATTGCTCATCTTTTGGTATTTTTGAGTGATTCCAAAGACATACTTCTCTTTAAAGGGTTATTAACAAATCACTTCAAAAGTTTCAAGGAGTTTTCATGTGTAAGAAACTTGATGATGGAGAAAGATTACAAGTCCTCCAGATGAACCCTCATTTTCTCATGTGTGACTTCAAATGATCATAACTTGGTCAGTTTTTATCACCTTGGGCCCACTCTTTTTCCATAATGATCTTGAGGATGTGAAATTTACTCCTTATTTTATGTGCAAAGTAAGAAAATGGATGGAAGATGCCCTAAGGATACAAAAGAGTATAGGTCATTTCATGATATTTTTTGCCAACTTCAACAATTCACAAATCTCTCAATTTTTGGAGATTTTGGATGGTTCAAGTCTCAAAATGTCATTTAAGAGGTATATTTTATGCCATCTTCTTTTATCAAGAGCAAATTCCAAGTGGAAAGCCATGTTTAGATGCAAAATATTATAGGTCACTTTTGAAGAAAATTTGAAATATTTCTAAGTATGGAGAGTCAACCCTTTTTCTCCAACTTTGAGTCAATGCAACTTTCAGCTCAAGCATCCATTTGATTACTTTCTTTTTTCATTGCAAATCTTGTGACCTCCTCTTTCTAAAGCATCAAGAATCATGTCCTAAGACCCCTTGAGCTGAAAATGCCATTATTTTGAAATTGGTAGCTTGAAACTGAAATTTCATCACAAGTCAGATTTTGAAATCTTTGTTTTGGCTTCTAATCACAAGTTTCCCATGCGTTTTTGCTTCTAATCATGTTTAGCAACTTTCCAAAGATGTTTAACATCATGAAACGCACGATTTGGCTGAGTTTTAATGCTAAACAAGTCACACTTTGTTCATGTTGCAGACCCCTCACGATTTCCCTCCAAAACTCATCATTTCACACGCTTGAGGATCCCATTCATTCTCATATAAATAGAGGGTCACCCCCCATTCATTTCCTCAAGCTTGGATAGCCAGAATCACCCTGCCAAACTTGTTCCATAACTCAAATTTCTGCAACTTCAAAATCTGTGGTCAAGCCTTTTTCAATCCAACTTCTCTATCAATTCACCTTCCTTGATCTTCCCTGAAGCTAACCATACAATTACCTTTAAGAACCGTGCCCTATATTGCTTCAATAGGTAGATTTCCCCATCAATTCTTCAAAACTTTGATATCATTGTAATGCTCTCATTGCCCTGGTTCTAGTTGCAACACTTACTTTTATCTGGAAACATGTTTTGACCATGAAATTTCAAATCCCTTTTCAAAACTTCTCTTCCAAATTGCTTGAGCTACAGTTTAAATAAATTTGTCACGAAGGTGTGGTTGTCTTCGTCTTGAAGAGACGAAGCGAATGGTATAGGTCTGAGCTTCTGATTTTATAGTTTGAGAGACCTGCAATTCACATTGGCTGGAGGTTGAAGATGACCAACGTGTCATGTTCCAACCAATGAAGGTGCGCCATCTGTTTTTTTGAAAATTTGATTTAATTAATGATTCTATACTTTATTCACTAATGACCATGATATGCACAGCGCGTCAGATTCCTTGAATTTGATTACTAATGCGCTTTGACTCTCATCCAATGGTCCATATATTTTTGACTTTATTTTTCTTTTCTGATTTTTATATTTAATTGTTTAAAATTTCAAAAAATCATAGAAAATTCATTTTTAGTCCAAAAAATCTGAAAAAATTATGAAAAATATTTTTGATTTTTCTCTTTCTGATTTTTATTTTTTCACAATTTTATTTTGTGTTTTTGATTTTTTTTTTATTATAAATTTTCACTTTATTTGATTTGTTTTAAATGTTTAAAAATACTTTTATGCATTTTTTAATTTTGAAAAAATTATGAAATGATCCAATGGTATTGTGACAAATATTGGTGACCTCATCCATTTTTTATTTCTGACTTTGGTATTTTTTTATATCATTTTTGGTTTATTTTACTCATTTCTTTTAATTTTAAAAAATAGTTTCTGACTTTAAAAAATTACCCAAAATTTTTATAAAATTATTTTAGTTCATTTCTGATTTTCCCGTGGTCTTACTTTTTATTTCTTGATTAATTTGAACATAGTTGATATTTTTCTCTTTTATTTCTATTTTAAAACATTTTTAAACTTTTTTTAATATATATACTAAAATGCAATATTATTTTGTGATTATTTTCTGGCTGATCTTGAGTTGAGTTTTTGATTATGAACTTTGTTAACATCATTGGATCCATAGTGTTGAGTTTTAACTCCATAAAGATGGATGAATGATTTTAATAATAGTTTAATTAAAATTTAATTCAAATGTGGTTTGTATGTTATTTCCCATCCCTCTTCATCTTATCCCTTTCTTATTGCACTAGGTGTTATTGGAGCATGATCTCCATATCATGTCTCAAAACAAATGGTGCATAGATTGCTATTGACCGACCTCAAAATAGGTGCAACTTCTACATAAGTCCACTTACGATTGCTTAACATAGCGCTAAATTTTGTACCGATTCAAATAAATGATCATTCGTGGCCCAAACCTATGTTTGCAAGCCCAAGTATGTTAATTTGATCTCTTTGATCCAATAACCTTGAGATTCATTGTGTGGAGGCTTTGGTTCTACCAATCCTCTAATGGATCTACAACACTTTTGGTCAACGCGGATCACTTAAACATTGTTGATCATTAAATGGTACTCTTGAGGATTCCAAATGGATGATATACTTGACAAAAAGAAAATGCAACTTGTTGTGTGGAGGCTTTGGTTCTACCAATTCTCTAATGAGTTTCAAATGCAAGTTTCAAG